GTGTGCCGACAGAGTCGCTCCTGAGAGCTGAGCGTCTGGGAGGAGCTCGGGCGATATCGAAGTGCGCTCGCTCTCCCATCGGCTCGGCACGGCAGTCTGACCCCTCTCTCTGGGCTTCCTGCTCTTTTTGTATAACAGGTTTGAACTGGAGATTTAATCAGGGTTAGTTTTATCTTCATCGGGTCCGTGTCTGGGTCACACAGTCCAGAGCCCGCCGGTCCGGTCTGGGTCACACAGTCCAGAGCCCGCCGGTCCGGTCTGGGTCACACTGTGCCCCTACAGTCCAGAGCCCGCCGGTCCAGTCTGGGTCACACTGTACCTCTACAGTCCAGAGCTCGCCGGTCCGGTCTGGGTCACGCTGTACCCCTACAGTCCAGAGCCCGCCGGTCCGGTCTGGGTCACGCTGTACCCCGATCTTGCTGGGTGTCGTCTGGGTCAGATGTCAGCCAGCAGTGGCCAGGAGTCCCACTGGTTGACCCCTGCCAGCCTCGCCGCTCGCTTGGGTATTAAAACCCCGTCAGGGCTGTGACCTGCCTTGGTTTCGAGCGCTGCTTAACGGACTCTGCCCCTGCTCAGCCAGATCAGCCCGGGGTTTTTCCTGCAGGTCCCTCTGTTGGACCGGGCGGACTGGCGGAGCGTGTTTGTTTGATGTGTCCTGATGCCTCGACGAGCACAAAAGCTGAATCTTCCCCCCTCCTTGCACACGCAGTTTAAATAGTTGGCCTTTGTTGGTGAAGCAGAAATGACACAATGAATACAGTCATAACTTCGCTTTTTATTGAGTCGGAATAAGGGGAACTAAACTAAAACGTGCACGACCTGTTGAGTACCGTATGACTCGTGTCTCGTGCTGCTGATCAAACCGGGAGTGGATCGGACTGCTGACCCTGCACAGAACCGTGTGAGGGGGTGCCCAGGACCGAGTGCCTGGAGCTGAGCTCTAACCCTCTTTATGTTCCTCCCTTCCAGGTGGCTGTGAAGATCATAGACAAGACCCAGCTGAACTCTTCTAGCCTCCAGAAGGTGAGAGACGCAGACGAGCGCGGGTCACAGCTGGAGAGGGCCGGCCCGTTGTTGACCAGCCTGCAGGGGCTCGTGGGTCTGCAGGATGCCTATTGTAGGACATAAAACCTGCATTCTGGCCTGCATAGCTGTGAAGGAGACTGGTTTTGCAGCAGCAGCCCGTGGTTGTTCAAAATCCCTTCTAGGAATGATCCCATTGCTAAAAAAAATTGGTTAAGAAAAATTGATAAAAATAAAATAGGGACCAGTAATTAAAGAGATTACAAACGAGAGGAGCTCCATATCAGATCTGAAACTCTTAAGATTACGAGGGGTGAAGATTTGCATGTTCGTATTCCTCCAAGGCTTCGTGAAAGTCAACAGAGCAGACCTCTTCTGGAAAATCCAAACCAGGGGACACAAGTGGAAAGTCGCAAGAAATTCATTTAAAACTGGCGGTGGGATGGGGGGGGCATTACTTTACACTGAGGGTGGCGGGAGTGTGGAACAAGCTGCCCAGCCGCGTAGTTGAAGCGGATACCCTGGTGTCTTTTAAGAAACGGGTGGATGAGATCCTCCAGTCAGGACTGGGGGGGAGAATCGCCTTTACACAAAGAGTGGTGGGGGAGTGGAAGAAGCTGTCCAGCCATGTTGTGGAAGCCCATACCCTGGCTTCTTGCAAGTTGCCGTTGCCGTGTGTGGAGAGATCCTGGGATAAACTAATTACCAAACGTCGCTGCTCCGGAGGTTGCCGGCCGCCCTTGCAGAGGCCCCGGGCCCGGCCGGTTTTCGCAGGCTCGTTGCCCGGCGTTCGAGGGCGTTGGAATGATCGGCCAGGCATTCGCTTTCAAAAGCGGTGTCGACGTGCGCCTGCTTCCCTGTTCTAAAAGGCGGGTTGTCCTCCCTCCGGCGTTCCGCTGGGAGAGGCCGCTGGGGCAGTGCGCCCTGGGGTGTGTCTGGAATGAGAACGGCTCTCTCGGGGGGGGGGGTGTGTGTGTGTGGCAGGCTGCTGCACTGGTTGCGCGGGGCGTGTCCGCGCTGTGATTTCCAGAACCTGTTTGCCAGCGGGGAGCGAGGAGGAAGTAGGACTTCACCCTGCGTGCGTCGTGCTGTTTTGCGACTGGGTTGCAAGGGCAGCCATCTCCTGCCCGGCCCCAGCGGTCTCCTCCAGTTCCACCACAGCTTACAGGAAGCTGGTTGCGCTGGAGCCGAGTAGGCCTTACGTTCCAATCGCGTCAGCAGGTGCTCTGTCGCCCTGCCACCCACGCCCAGAGCTCGTTTCGGGACCTGGAGGGCGAGCGTGCCCCAGCGTCGCTCCACCTGGAGAGGAGCCAGGAGTCTCAGCGCAGTCCAGCGACGGCTTGAGATGATTTAAGATTGTGACGAAAAAGCGAAACCATTTGCAGAGAGCACTGGGAGAAGACGCCCACAGCGTCCTGGACTCCAGCAGTGTCGCGGAAAAGTTTAGAACCCTGGCACTACCTCTGTCGGTACTGTGAATAATAGTCACTGCCTTTCAGTTGCTCCTGAGGCATCGCGTCCCGCAGGTGTCTCTTTAAAAGTTCTCAAGCCAGATCAGGCGTGATGACAAGCCAGAGTCGGGTCATTACCCATCTACTCCCACTGCGCAGCAGTCTTATCCGCTCCAGGTGTGACAGATCTCTCTGTCTGACTCCCAGTGCGCAGCAGTCCGAGCCACACCAGGTCTTACAGGGCGCAGGCCTCCCTTGCCCAGTGTACAGTGTCTGCTTTGGGCCTTCGTTAGAATGGTTTGGGTCTCGTGGAGCTGGTAAAACCCGAAGCTGCCCTGATCTGACGCCTCCGGGGTGTGATCGAACCCCAGACAGGCGTGTTTGCGCAGGAGGAAGCCTGCAGCCCTGTCGCTTTCTCACGCTCGTCATGAAAGCTGTGCTCCCCCCGCCGCGGGCCTCGTGATCCAGCCTGAGAGACCTGTCCGGTCACTTCTCCACTGCTCTGGGGAAGGGGGGGGGCCGCGCTGGCACACAGAGGCTCCCCGGCCGGTTTTTGCTCGGCGGTTTTCCGAAACTCTCCTGGCTGGCGCAGTGCTGTGCCGGTGAGATTCCCGGCCTGTTCCGAGTTCAGACACCGGAGCCTTTCCGCAGCGAGACCAAGGGTCTCAGCGGGTCCCCCAGGAGGAGGAGGTACTGACTCGGTGCTCTGTCTGTCTGGGAGCGCAGGGGCTGGCAGCAGTGTTAGGGCAGATCGCTCTTTCCTGTAGTGGGGTGTCCAGGGGTGAACACAGCTTACTGCTGGTCCTTGAGACACTCTCCCCACGCACACACACGCAAGTACACACACATACGCAGCCTGATTTTGGCTGCCTCCTTTCTTTGAATCTAGACAGGCTAACTGCCCTTATCTCTCTCTCTCTCTCTCTCTCTCTCTCCCCCCCTGTCCCAACGAGGGAGCTGATGGAGGGTCCTTCTCTCCTCCTTCCTCTCTCATCTCTGGCCAAGCCGCTGGGTCTCTTGGGTCAGTGTCGGGGGAGGGAGGGGGGGAAATGACAGAAAATGAGTCTCTGCGACTTCCTGCCTGGAGGGGGTAAGGGGGGAGGTCTGAGCGTGGCCGGGCTCTCGGGCAGCTGCACCCCTGGGCAGACGTGAAGTGACTTGTTTCTCCTTCTCTCTCTCTCCCCCCTTCACCCTCGAACCCTTCCACAGCTCTTTCGGGAAGTCCGCATAATGAAGCTCCTGAATCACCCCAATATAGGTGAGTGTGCCGCGGGTCTGGGTCTGGGCTGTCCTGCGGGGAAGAGCGCGGCGCGGCGGCGTCTCGGTCTGCAGCACGCAGAGTGGGGATCCCCTGGGTCCGTCCCACTGCGCCGGCGGGGGGGTGGCATCCGCGGGGTTTTGTGGGAGGTCGGCTCGGCCTTGCCGGTCAGCGGGGAGTGAGAATTGTTGGACCCAAGCTGGAGGGGCAGGGAGGGGGTACTTAAAACCATTTCCAGCGCGGTAAAATGCAGAGCCAACCCCGCCGGCGTGTGGCGGCAGCAGCGTTGTTATTGACATCCCACCACGCGGAAGCGAGGTCAGGGTGTTGGTAGCCCAGTAGGGGGCGCTGAGTTTCCAAACCAGCGACCCAGGGGGCTGTGCTGTTGGCTGGCGTGTTGCCCCGAGGTCCGCGCCGGGCTGCTCCGGGGCTCCTCTTGAACGGGTGAAATATTCCTCACCTGCTTCCTCGGCTGGGAGCTGTGCTTCTCGTCGGGGGCTCCCCGTTCCGAAATGCTTTGGGCCCTGTGAAGGCGAGGGGTTATCGTTTCAAAGGCGGAGAGAGACCGCCGCGGGTCCGGGTGCCGGCGGAAGATTCGGTTACTCTGCATCGGCGAAGGCCCGGTGCTGTTGGGGATGGGGGGGGCGACGGCCCGGTGCGGACGCTCGCGCAGGAAGTCGGATGTTTACAGACCGTCTCGGCCGGGGTTGGCGAAGCGTGGCGTCTGGCGGGGAGCGGCCCCGTCTGACGCGTCCAGCCGTCAAGAGGCTGATCGCTATCTGTCCAGGGGACGCGCACGTCCCTTCCCATCACCCCCCTCCCACACGGGGCTGGCAGGGGGGCCAGGCTGGCAACACTTGGGGGGGGGGGGGACCGAGAGGAAGTGACCTGGGGGAAGAGTGTTGGGGTTGCGCAGGCTGCCTGGTTGATGCTGTGATTGTTGTCGTCTGCAGTTAAGTTATTTGAGGTGATAGAAACGGAGAAGACGCTGTATCTCGTGATGGAGTACGCCAGTGGAGGTGAGTGAGCCCACAGGCCTGACGTCTCGCACACTTGCACCTCCTCACGGTTTCGGGGGAGGGCGGAGGTCTTGTGCTCCTTTTCAGGGGTGGCGTGACGGAGGTCTTCGCCCAGGCTGGATGTCTGACTCTCTCTCTCGCCCTCCCCTCGCAGGCGAAGTGTTCGACTACCTCGTCGCACACGGCAGGATGAAAGAGAAGGAGGCGCGGGCCAAATTTCGGCAGGTGAGTCCACCCCCCCCCCGGACGTGCCGGACGGGATTCTGGGATTGATTCTGAGCGCCTGACCGCCGCCAGGCGAGCCCGTCGGGGAAAGCTCCGGGAGTGGGGGGCGCTCGCTGCTGTGACCGGGGTTCCCCAAAGGGGGGGCGTGTGATCGGCTGAGCGCTGACCACTCTAGGGGCATCCTGCTGGCGTGACTGTGACTGGTCTGCCGTCTTGAGCTGCGTGTGTCCCACTGTGTGAGATATTGCCGTCTGATCTGTGCTGGGATGTGGTTGAATCTTTTGCTCACCTCCACTCCCGCCCCCCCCTCTCTCTCTGGTGCAGATCGTGTCGGCGGTGCAGTACTGCCACCAGAAGTGCATCGTGCACCGGGATCTGAAGGTAAGAGCCGCGTCGGCCCCCAGCGCCCGGGCACGCCTGTCTGTGGTCCACGCCAGCCACCAGGGCAGAGGGTTAGAGAGAGAGAGAGAGAGAGACAGGGGGCCTGTCCCCATGGGGAAAGAAACTGCGCTGGAGGCCCCATGTTTCTGAGGACCCAGCAGAGGAGCGAGAGAGAACCAGGCAGAGAAAGAGCCCCTTACTGAAGGGTGCCCTTCCCTTCCCAGGAGTGCTAGACTTTCACCCAGGCCACACGTTAATCGCTGCCACACTCCCTCCCTCCCAGGCCGAGAACCTCCTCCTGGACGCGGACATGAACATCAAGATCGCCGACTTCGGCTTCAGCAACGAGTTCACCCTGGGGAACAAGCTGGACACTTTCTGCGGGAGCCCCCCCTACGCCGCGCCCGAGCTCTTCCAGGGCAAGAAGTACGACGGGCCGGAGGTGGACGTCTGGAGCCTGGGCGTCATCCTGTACACGCTGGTCAGCGGCTCGCTGCCCTTCGACGGGCAGAACCTCAAGGCGAGTTGCGGAGCGCAGTGCGATTGTTCTACGGCAGTGTCCCCCCCCCAGCCCTGGTCCTGGAGAGCCCCAGGCCAGTCAGTCTTAGAGGTCACCCTGAATC